CACACACAGACACACAGACAGGAAAGAGGAAAGAAGTTAAATTAGGTATTGGCATTTTAAGTTAATTTGTGTAGAGTACTCTAACAAAATTCCTTACATGACATTTAAAGCAGACATTACACACACAGTTTCTGCCAATCTCATGTTAATCTTGAGTACCTATAGAGTAGTATTGCATCCTTCATATCTCCGAGTTTTATCAGATTTATAAAAGAAAGCTACAGCTTTACGCTTCTCTCCGAAAACAGTCGAGCTGCTGGAGACGTGCCGTGGGCGGAGCTATAGAGTCACGAGCACGAGTGATCGTCTGTGACATCGATATAAATAAAACAGGGACTAAAACTTTATTGACTTCGATTAACTATAGCTAAAAATTTTACAAATGACAAATGCTAGATCATAGGATGTTTTTGAAAGAAGTCTCTTATGCTCACCAAGACTGCATTTATTTGATGAAAAATACATTATATATAATGAAATGTTATTTCAATTTCAAAAAATTGTTTTCGGTTTCATAGAAAAGAGCAAAAGGATTTAGATTAAATAAAATGTATTCAAGGGCTGCATTAACCAGAAAATAATGTGCCAAAAAAAAAATTGTTAAACATTAAACTTTGGAAACCAAATTATAAGTTATAAGTTAATTATAATTAATTATAAATTAATTAATTATAAGTTCTGGCACAAATGATCACTTAGGTTGATAAAAAAAAAAGATTGCATTATTACAATATAATGATAATAAGTTTAAAAGAGCAAAGATTCAGATAAAATAATATGTACATGTATTTATTTATTTTTAAAGAAGAATATTTTTGCTTTTAAAGAAAAGACAATGCAACATTTTTGTTAAACTTTTAACTTTGAAATCTCATTTCAAATTCTTTATATATAAAAAACGTACTTACAGGCTGTGAGTCAGAACAGCCGGCATTGTAGTCTACTCTACCAGGATCAGGAAACAGTCCTACATAAAATGCGCTGCACACATCTGAATATTTGGGTTGAACTGTTCTGGAACAGTGTTGTAAATACAACTTAACCACTGATTTCTAGTTGTGTCCTCTTTTGGAAGACCAAACAAAGTAGTTTCGCTTTCAGGCCGGCGGGGCTAGAGTGAGCGGCGGCCGGCGGATTCGATGAAGGAGCGGCCGGCGGGCTTGTGGCAACCACATGTGACGACCCCGGACTTTTTTCATCCACGGTGAAAGCCGAACCGGCGATCCACAGCACGAAGTTGATGTATTTCCTCAGCGACCATCACGGATCAGCTCTAGGCATGACGAAGCGGATATTGTCCTCTTTGGGAAGGCCAAACAAAGTAGTTTCGCTTTCACAACGAAACACACAGCACCTTCACGACATGGCGGCAGCAACAATACTACATCGAGAATAAAAGTTACGCCTTCTTTCTTTGCATGAACATTTGGGCGGCGTTATGCAAATCTTCCCACATCGTGACGTAGACATGTGGGGGCGTGTTAGAACGAGCCGTTTTAGGTAGGCGTGGTTGACTCTTAACTTTTATAAAGAATATCTCTTTGGATTTGAGACTTTAGTCTTCTGCAACTTTACAGATCTTCTTTATGCACCAAGAGCTTGTAACACTCCAAAGAGAAAGGAAAAATTGTAATCGCATCATATGACCCCTTTAATTAAAAAATATTTTATAATTTTTATGTTGATAATGATGAAAAGATGAAATATTAAAATGTTTTAAAATGTTATTTTAAAAGCTGAATTTTCAGCAGACATTTCTCCAGTCTTTGCATGATCCTTCAGAAATCATTACATTACACCAATATATTAAATAGAAATATATTAAAAGAGAAAACTATTTTTTTATTTTTATATTTCACAAAATCACTTTAAAAATTATATATAGGCTATATATCTCAAACAGGAATGTTTCCATTTGTATCACTCCGCTTGCAGTATTGCCCACAGCGAGTGTCATGGCAGACTCCCAAATCCACTATAACTTTTAAAATACAGTTTTAAAAACTGTTTTTGTGTCACAGAATATAGTTTTAAGAGTTTTTTTTTAGGTGAGAATGTAGTTGTTTAGACTTCAAGCATGCGGTTTGTTAATAACAATAACTCCTATTTGAAAATTTGCTTCAACTTTTTTGGAGATGTGAGCTCCAGGACGTCAGCGGCCGTTCATCGCTCATTAACCCACCAAGAGCAGCCTTACCTCGGCCAGATCTTCTGGAATTTGCCGCTGGCTCTGTGGCCTTGTACCTATGACTAATGGCGCTTTTCCACTGCGTGGTACGACTCGGCTCGGTA